GATGCACACAGATTACACCCATCTCTCCCAGCAGCACACATTAAAGCATACAGTACCTCCCATGCGCTTTCCGACCTGCACTCAAATTGTTGTCCAGCACAGTAATTCTCTCGGGGAAAAGCGCGTTTAGGTCGAAAGGGAAATCCATTGTAAGGACAGATCTGGAATCTTAAGACAATACACTACTAATGCCCTGCTGCATGTATCACAGCGCCAATCGATTCTCGCTGCACTTGATTTAGTTAAAGCACCAGTCCCCCATCAGTGCCGCTTCAGCAGTGGGCTGGTTTAAAGGCACAGCTGTATAGCGGTGTTATCGGAGCTGCTTCTGTCCTCCCATTGTGTTGTGTTTGTGTCACTCCCTTCATTCACTCCGCTGGAGGAGTAGTACACCGTGCACACGCCTGCAGGATAGTTTCTAGTTATATTTCCATAAATGTAAACATAAAAATCTTTCATTTAGAAAGTGGTAGAAATCTGCGGCTTCAGAAGATTTATTTCCGTTTCCTCTTGGCAACGACGCACAACTTTGTGCTGCATAGCAACCAAACATATCTATTATATATTGCAGTCAGTAGATATGATCATATAAATACAGCAATAGTTGTACTCTTTTATATTTATGTTTCTTTTTATATTTTTCGTATATATATATATTTTATATTTCTGATTTCCCCTGGCAACTTTTTAAGAACATTTAACTTTATCTCTTATTTGATGTTGTTTTTTTTAACAACATTTAATTTCCAGCAATTACTACTGCATGCTCTAGTATCCCAAATATCCCATCTCACTATTAGAAAGTGCATGCATCATTTTGTTTAAATAAATTATAAAGAAGAAAAAGAAAACAAATGAAAAAAAAAAAATCATGCAACATAAACACAAAATATGTTTGTATTTTCATGCAGGCAGATATTTCGCTACCCTGACTGCAGCATTAGGACCCTGTTAAATGTCATTCGCTGCGCGATTCTTTCCATTAAAACATCCAGACATAGAATTTAATGTTCCAATGAGTAAATTAGAAATAATTAAAAAAGTTAAAAAAGCATTAAAAGATATATGGCAAAGTAAATGGGATGGTGAGAATAAAGGACGGCATATTAAAAATATTCAAAAAACAGTTGGAAATGAGAGGAGAATTTTTGGGAATAGAAAGGAAGACGGCATAATATCTCGCCTTAGAATTGGACACACTGCACTTAATCAATCATTATTTATTATAGGAAAACATGAGTCTGGACTTTGTGGTAAATGTGATCTTCCTGAAACAGTTGAGCATATTTTAATAAAATGTAAAGGATATGACAACGAAAGAGTACAACTTACAGAAGCACTTCATATAGAAATAAATCAGATCTCACTTCAGAAATTGTTAAATAAAGATGTGACTATAGAAATGTTTCACATATTATTTAAGTATCTCAAAGATACAGAGTTAATAAACAGGATTTAAAGAATCACTACAAATGTTTTTTTATTTTTATTTATTTATTTTTTTAGTTTTCCTTTAACGTCATTGCTCCACACTCCATCCTAGTAGGTGGCGGTAAATGCACCTAAAGCTGGTTTGCCAACCGCCATAAAACGTCAAAGAAGAAGAAGAAGAAGAAGAATCGATTCCGGAAAATGAGTCGGACTTTCTATCGCCAAACACTCTGCCTGTCATAAACATTTTTATATATAAATGTCATACATTTTAAATGTCTTATAATCTCTAAGTTCTAAATTGGTTCATTTTTATAAGCGCGACACAATAATGATTTATTAAAGGTATGTGAAGTTTGTTCTTTGGTTCCAACGTGTTTAGTATGTTGCATGAACTTTCACCTCAGTTCCCACAGCCACGCAGGATCGTGTGGTTCGACAGGACAGTGACAACACTAACACGATCTCTAACTTTGAGTGTGCATTGTATTTCGAGCTTTTAGTCGTTTGTTCCTGAACGAATCGCGTTTTGCACAGTTGTTGCACACTATCTGTTGCAGCCACATGGAAACTTTCATCAGCTTCACTAACCAAAGTCAAGGAAGGGATCGCATATTCAGGTCAGTGTCTCTTACCAAAGCTTGTCATCCGTCAAATCAACATCGAATTGAAATTATTTCTCCGTAAAGACGAGCTAGACTATGTCTGAACATTTTGTTTGTTTGCTTGATTTAGAGCAACCCAATATGCATGTGCTTTGGCGAAATACCTTCTGAGAAATGAAGCGAAGAGAAAAGAGCTGGTGAAAAAGCTGCAATTTCTGGAGTCTAATATGAGTTCGGGGCGGAAGCGTAAGAATGAACATTTACTGTTACACAACAAAACAATCACATACAAAACAAAAGTTCTTTCATTTCTTTGTCAGTACTTACTGTTCCAGTTTTATTAGTAGAGTTTATCTCAGATTGTAACATTTCTTATCTTTCTAGTAGTTATACAGTTCAATAAATGTAGACACATTTAGTTATTGATATTATATTTGGGCAGTATAGTCAAAGAACAACTGCCCCCCTGCCCCTGGTGTTGTATTGCTTCTCCCAGAGTTTTTTTTTCTTCTTCTTCTTCTTCTATCCGTTGTTTAACATCAAATGGGGTTTTGTCGCAAAATATAAACTATATTATTGCACGCCTCTATATAAAAAGTTGAACATATAAGTATAACTTGATTTTTTATATCAGTGCAAAATGTGAGCTATATTATTGTCCAGCTCTAATCTGCTAAATATGACTATAAGACATGAAGGTATAAGATATTACAAACATTAAAATCGTGATTTTCTGTAAAGCTGCTTTCAGTGTTGGGGAGTAACTAGTTACATGTAACGGAATTACAAATTATTTGCGCAGATATAAACGAATTTAGGTGTATTCAGTGGCGCATTACCATTAAAAACAAAACTAATGCACTGCGTCTGATGATGGGAGAAAATTAAGATTCTTATGTTCTTCTACATTACAAAACTACAAAACACCTGCATTGCTTACAAGACATTGTCGCTACAGCTGCTGGAGCGTGGAGAAAATGATGGACTTCGTACAGCTGGCTGAGGGCGAAAATATGCTAATATTGGACAGTAGTACATCAGCGGTTGTGGACGGGGCCTGAACAATATGGCATCATACTGCTCAGAAAATCAAAACGGCTTGATAATTGAGACTATTTAGGATTTTGGGGGGTTAAAAAAAGGAGTGAATGGATTTTTATCATTGTAGGGTGGTTGTGTCTACACACTGCTAAGATACATTTATATGCAAACACTATGTAAAAGTGAAATTTGCATCCAATGCCTACTTTAAAATTGAAATATAAGCTTAATTCAAGTGATGAAGGATTTCGAAAGTGTGACAGTAATCAGTGTTGAGTACTACTGTAAGGTTTACCGTGCCTGGTTTACATGTTTGAAAATGATTAACAGTTGAAAACATTAGAAATTTAGAAAAGTAATCAAAAAGTAATCAAATGTAATCAGTTACATTACTTTAATAAAGTAATTGAAAAGTTACACTACTTATTACATTTTAAGTAGGGTAACTTGTAATCTGTAACCTATTACATTTCCAAAGTAACCTTCCCAACACTGGCTGCTTTGAAATACTGTGTATTTTGAAAAGTGCTATACAAATAAAACTGACTTGACTAGACTGGTGAGCTTAAGTTGTCAGAATGTCAGTCTTACTAATAAGATTAAAAATTATTACAACACGCACTGGAGTATACCAAATAATTATTAGTGTCTATTCAATTTGCACCTGGAGAACTGAAATAAATACTATTAAAGATTAGAATAGTTGCTGGACAAATAGAATATGTAGGCTACCAACTACAATTGGGATAGTGGCTAGTATGTGATGATGATTAAGTTCTAATGACTAATTAAATAGATGCTAGTCACTAATGGAATAAATACAAGTGGAATTGAAAAGATCACAAATTGAATACTTGTAGAGGTGAAAAGTATTTTAGTATTAGTGCACTTGTTTACTTAAGTACAATTTTGGGGAATATGTATTTTACGTGCGTTCTGTTAAAATTGAATGTACTTACACATTTACAAGGAAATAATGTTTTTTTTCCCTCTACTACATACATGCCACGCCAATGTTTAATATAGTGACTGTACTTTAAATTAAGCAATTTCTCAGCACTTTTTACACTCCCGACTTGTGTAAAACTTTAGTAGTAACAAAAATAGACACTAATTCATTTTATGACCTCTATTTTTCGCAGAAATAAAAAGAATATCATCAGGAATGTATTTGTTTTTCTTTCTTTTTTTGTCAGTATTCAGGCTTGGGAACACAGTCAACTCGATCCATGCGGCCAAGAGCACTCTTCATATTTCTGACCCCGTGCTGCGCTTTTGCCTTACTTTTGCCAACCTCAACCGTGCCTTGTATTTCATCTGTGACAACTTACTCTGGGCCAGAAGTATTGGGCTAATAAAAGACATTGACAAGGAGCGCTGGAGCTTGAACTCCACTCGCTTCTATTTCCTGTCATTGGTTATGAATCTAACCAGAGACGTCTATGTGATCATCCAGCTTATGGTGCAGAAGTCTCGGGACCGACACTTCCAGCAAAAAGTCGACCAGCACCTCAATGAAAGCCCGGATGTGGCTTGTGTCATAGTGCCTCAGCTGGATGCGTTCCTCTTCCTTCTCCTCGAGAGCCTCAGAAATGATCCATCTGTGGCTCTCGATACAGTTAAAAATGTTTGCGATCTTTTCATTCCACTTGACAAACTGGGCATTTACCAAACAAATGCAGGGGTGGTGGGCTTCTGTGGCCTTGTTTCTTCTCTTTTAGGTATATTGTCAGTTTTGAGGCCCAGCCTCAAAATCAAGCCATGATTTAGCGGAATGAGGAAAATGAGGAAAAAACATCCGAAATGTCTTGTATAAGAGAACTTTTCTAACAAATGTTTCGATTTCATTTCAGTGTGGAATTAGGCTACTATTAAGCTTACTTTTGTAAAGGCATCAACTTAATTGTTTAAGAGAGACAGGAGAACAGCACATACCCATAATGCAGCAGTGCACCTGCAGGGCTGTTCTGCACAACATAATAATAATAAAAAATAATAGCATCATTTAGATAAGATTTCGCAGTGTGGGTTTGACCACATGCTGTGTACACTTTCATTAAATAGAGTGCCTTGCTGTATCTGTTGTTGTATTATGGCAGCCCTAGTGAAATAATACACCTGTATATTATGCTGTATTTAGTAGTTTTAATAGAGATTATATCACTTTGGTACTGACGATATTGAGATGAGGGTACACAAACACATTTTGGAACTTTCCAACAAAAAGAGGCTCTCTGTGATGGCAGCTCAACTTTCTGAAATATGTGCTTAATATTTAGTCTCTTCTACATGGAAAACCATCCGTGAAATTAGATATTCTACCTCATTCTGACAGATCCCATAGTTGTTTACAGATGTGTGTTTTATTTTAGGTGCCAGACAGAGTTTTGTTAGTTGTTATTTCCAATTTTGGTTTGTCATGACGAAAGAACTTACTACATAATTGGTTGTCAGCACAAACTGCTTTAAGAACAAACTGTGAACTTTAATAAAGGAATTTTTATGCACTGTTGAAAAGGTTTTGGTTTGTTTCTCACTTGTCTTTTGAACAGTTTGTCCTCACATTACACACAATAAAAACTGCATTATTATTGACACAAACACCTCTTATGGATCCACTACATGGATTTGTGATGGTTTAGTTTTAAACTTGCTACACCACAGGCCTAAACTAGATTTAAAGGGGTCATGAACTGATTTGGTTTTTAATTTGGATTGTTCTTTGAGGTCCACTTATAATGTTATCAAGATTTTTACATTAAAAAAAAAAACATTTTAGAGGTAACTAGATGAGTAAAGTTTGATGTCAAACTTTAAAGTTGGCTTGAAAAAGCCAGGCCAAAAAGGTTGAAAACATTGTAATAGCTTTAAGTAGTTCTACAGTTTAAAGTTTGAATGTTTTGAAGGCAATATAAAATAGATAGATAGACAGATTAAAATGAATTTACACAGCTATACATTTTTGAGTTTGGAAATGTTTTGGCTGCTTAACCTTGTAAGTTGAAATGTCTTTGTATGTATTTTTTTCTTAATGCATTACAGTATGCTGATGTCTAGCCTGTTGCTAGCATGTTTCTAGCAAGATTAGCATGTTACTAGCATGTTGCTAGCAAGTTACTAGCATGGTTAGCAAGTTACTATCATGATTCTAGCATTATTAGCATTACTAGCATGATTAGCAGGTTACTAGCATGGTTAGCAAGTTAATAGCATGATTCTAGCATTATTAGCAAGTTACTAGAATGTTTCTAGCATGATTAGCCTGTTACTAAATCATCAGAATGCTCTGTTTCAATAGGCGTGCCGAATGTTATGATGTGGTGTATGTTTGACAGCCTACATCCTTCACAGATGGACTGTGTTTTAGGTTAAAAACGTATAAATACTCGGTACATATCAAACGATCTGTAATAACTGACAAAGCGATAGTGATCACATAATGAAAACAGTTACTCACACCCCAGGATTCCCATATACTAGACACAGCATAAGTTCAGTCTTTCTGAAAATCCTGTGTCGAATTATGCCTTATTTGTAAACGAATCCGCGGTAAAATGAAGTGAACAAAGGACCAAGTTTGTACTGACACGGTCTGGCACTTCATTTAAAATAAAGTTTATCGTTTGGTTTCTGCGTAAACCTGTGTTTTCCGCTCTTGTCATTAAATGCCCATGAGAAGGATACAATACTAATGCAATACTAGAATTTGCAATGTTAAGGCATGACCATTGGACAGCAAAATGCTCATTGGGTCAGCACGGTCAGAAAAAAACAGGTGGAGAAGGAAAGACACGTTAACTGCAAAAACAATTAAGGTGATAAATTAGGTGTGAAACCATCAGGAACCATTTAGTCTCCAGGGCCACCATTTTCCAGAACTGCAACCTACCTGGAGTCTATAGAAGCGTGTCAGGTAAAAAAAAAAAATCCAGTTTTTTTTTTTATAGACCGATAAGTTGAGAGTGACTCTTGAAGGACCAGCACCACATCCTCTTGTACCACTCCCACAAGTTTTGGGAGTTCATTTTAGTCCATCTCTGCAAGACAGACTTTTCAGGATAGGAGATGGACTTAAAATGAACTCCCAAATCTTTTTATATATATA